AGAAGTTCTATTAAAAGTGTGCTGTAACAGTTCATGGGAAAGATGATGTAGAGTGGCAGTGGGGATGGGGAAGGGAAGCTGGAACAAGAGCTCTCCCTCAGTACTGCACAGCAGTGTCTATGTTATGTTGTCACTTGTGTATAGGAAACTCTGATGGGTTCAACTGTGTCCTCTAAAAAATTCCTATGTTGAAGTTACAATTCCTAGTACCTCAGAATGTAACTGTACTTTGTGATAGGGTTTCTATAGTGGTAATTAAGTCTAACTGGGGTCATTTGGGTGGCCCTAATCTAATATGACTGGTGTCCTTATAAGAAGAGGTAATTTGAACATAGACATATACAAAGAGAGATGATGTGAAGACACAGAAAAACGCTGACAATTACAGCCAAGGAGAGAGTCTGGGACAGATCTCCTCACAGCCCTCAGAAGAACCAACCCTGGTGACACCTGGTCTTGGACTTCTGGCCAATAAATTTGCATTTCTGTTGTGGTATTCTGTATGGCAGCTACGGTAAACTAATATAGAAATGTTGTAGTATATGCTTAAATCTTTATGAACAAAGGTCAGGTACACAAGAAAATAATAATGCTGATTTCTTTTAAAGGACAGAGTTGACAGGAAATCTTTCACTTATAACTTTTAATAATTACTGATTATTTTACTCATGTGAACATAATGATATTGAAACATAATTAAATTAAAGAAAAAGAACAAAGCTATTTTAAGGGAAAATTATTATTTGCTGATGTAATGGATAACAGGGATGGGTAGTTGAGAAGAGAATTGATGGTGATGTTAATACCTCTAGCTTACAAAGTTGATTGGGTGACAGTGCTTTAAAAGTGGGAGGAAAATGCATAGTTTCACCATATACATGTTAAATTTTAAAACTGAAATCTGTTTTGAGTTTATTCCTGTGTATGGCAGACTTATGCCATACAGAAGAATGGACGCAAAATGGATAAAAGACTTAAATGTACGTTGAGAAACCATAAAAATCCTAGAAGAAATCATATGCAACAAAATCTCAGATATCTCATGTAGCAGAATTTTCACCAGTATATCACCTAGGGCAAGAGAAACAAAGGAAGAAATAAACAAATGTGACTACATCAAAATAAAAAGCTTCTGCACAGCAAAAGAAACCATCAACAAAATTAAAAGGGATCCCATTATATGGGAGAACATATTTGCCAAAGAAACATCTGTTAAAGGGTTAATTTCCAATATATACAAAGAATTTATACAACTTAAAAAAAAAGGCAGGCAAATAATCCAATTAAAAATAGACAAAGGACCTAAGTAGACACTTCTCCAAAGAGGACATACAGATGGCCAATAAACATGAAAAAAATGCTCAAAGTCACTAATCATCAGAGTGATGTAAATTAAAACAACAATGAGGTATCACCTCACACCTGCCAGAATGGCCACCATCAACAAATTAACAAACAAGTCCTGGTGAGGATGTGGAGAAAGGAGGCTCTAGTACCCTGCTGTGGGAATGCAGACTGCTGCAGCCACTGTGGAAAACATTGTGGAGTTTCCTCAAAGCATTAAAAGTGGAACTGCCATTTGACTCAGTTATCCCACTTCTAGAAATATATCCTAAGAATCCTGAAACACCAGTCAGAAAGAATATATCCACCCCTATGTTCATCACAATGTTATTTACAATCACTACGATCTGGAACAGCCCAAGTGCCCATCAGTAGATGAATGGATACAAAAGCTGTGGTACATTTATGTAATGGAATATTATGCAGTTCTAAAAAAGAGGATCTCTTACCGTTTGAGACAGCATAGAGAGACCCAGAGAGTATTATACTAAGCGAAATAAGCCATTTAGAGAAAGACAAGTATCACATGATCTCACTTATATGTGGAATCTAATGAACAAAATTGATCCAGAGACATGAAAGCATGGAGCAGACTTACGAATCTCAGAGGGCAGGGTGGAGAGAAGGAGAGGGGTGGGAAGAGATTAATCGAAGAACTTATATGCATATATGCATAACCCATGGACACAGACAATAGTATGGTGAAGGCCTGGTGGGGGTAGCAGGTTGGAGGGGGTCGGTAGGGAAAAAAGGGAGGACATCTGTAATACTTTCAACAATAAAGGTAAATTAAAAAAAAAAAAACACAAAAAACTGAGATCTACATTCACCAATATCCATTCTGTGTCTAGAAATAAGTTGCTAGGGCTAGCAGACAAACTTAGGGCTGGCATATATACCTTAATATGACTCTGAGATAGTATCCATTGTAAGACAGAGATTTTGAAATGCACAAAATAAGTGTCTTGGAATTGTTGAAAAACAGATTTTAGCGATTGAATCATGTTAGTTAGCTCAAGTTTTGAAAAAGGCGGAGGATGGGACTGGAAAGATTATGAGCCTTTATGAGTGGGTAGAAGAGAAAGAACCAGTCAAGGAGATTTAGAAGGAAAGGTTAGCTAAGTAGGAGTTGAAATAGAACAGAGTTGTATCTCAGAAGTCATGTGAGAAGGTCAAAACGAAGGGGGATAGGCTAAAGGTTCAAAAAGTTTGAATTGAATATGGACTCAAAATTAGATTTGCTTTAAGTTTCAAGTAAATCTTACTTATATCTATATTAATAAGTGAAAATAAAAGGATTTTCTTAAACTTTCATATACTGATGCCAAAGTGATATTCTTTTACACTCATCATCAAATCAGTGTATTTCTTTATACATTGATATACCAGTTATTAAAGTGCCACCTCAAGCTTTTAAATCAGCTTTCCACATATTTACATGAAATACATTTTTCTTTATTTAAAAAAATACATTTTCCCAAGTACGTAAATAATAGCAATAATGTTCATTGTAGAAAATTTTCTAAATATAAAAATATGGAAAAAATATTAATATGACCTATACTCCCATCACCTAGAAATAGCCACTATTTATTTTGTGTGTGTAGAAAGGTGTATGCATTGCAGTGTTTATACAGAAGTCTCATTTCTATCCAACTTTTTCACCTAGCTTTACATCATGAACAAGTTCCCATATTATTAGCAGTTCTTAAATACTTTTTTCAAAGATGCACAATATTCTAGCATATGGATATCCCCTAATTACGTGATCATTCTCGTTTGACATTTAGATTGTTTCTAGTATTTCATTTCAAACACATTAATACTGATCTCCATTTACTATAGTTTTCTTAGGCTAGATTTTTATAAGTGAAATTGCCCCTGAGATGATGAGGATTACAAGAAAAAATGTTTTATTTTTCCTCATGTGTATCCACATTTGAATATATTAATTTAAAAATCTTCCCAGCATTTAGATTATTTCGTGTTAGGATTTTAATTACAACAGTCATCTAGTTATTATTCTTAGAGTAAATGTCCTTTTTTAAAAAGATCTTCACCCAAGGATATGTTTTTATTGATTTTAGAGAGAAAGGAGAGAGCGAGAGTGAGAGAGAGAGAGAGAGAAAGAGAGAGAGAGAGAGAGAGAGAGATTGATGTGAGAGGAGCATCAATCAGTTGCCTCCAGTCAGTACCCTGCTGGGGTATGGGACCCGCAGGCCAGATATGTTCCCTGACGGGAATTGAACCCACGATTTCTTGATGTATGGGATAATGTTCCAGCCAACTGGGCCACCAGGCCAGGGCTAAGTATCCTTCTTTTTCATGGATCTAAATATCTGAGATATAATAAATTATTAGTGATAGTCTAAGGAGCACCTGCAATGAATAAGGTCTTATATTCACTCAGAATTTTTTCTAGGTGTTTCTTTTCTAGCTTGTGGAAATAACATTGGAAACTTTATTTCCATTCCAAAAGGGCACATAAAAATTATAAGCCACTAACCATAGCTACTAGTTCTTAAAAAAAAACACCCACATGCTTTTTCAGCATAACTTGGTAGGGAGAATTGCAGGGGAATGGGGAAGGAATGACTGAGTTATAACAGATTCTTCTATCTAATTACACATACAGGTGGCAAATGCATTATTAAAATAGTGCTTAGTGTCTTATGTTTCAAGTGAAAATTGTAATTAAAAAGTATGTTCTCTCCTCCGCTAGGACTTTACCATAGGGGTCTTGTCTATCTGGTGAATTTTAAAAGAACAATTAAAAGTGATAATGTTTCTGTTTCAGTGAACTGCTCACCTCTCCGGTGCATCAAATAGGTATTTTAACCTAAGACAATTCACTGGCGTGCTTTAAAGTCTTGAGCATGCTATTTATTTTAAATGACTGCTGTGACTTCGTCTCCAAATCTTGGATTTAACTGTAATCTTGGGTGCCTATAATATGGTCTGTCCATTTTCTAACCATATTACATTATTTCAGGATAGACTAAATTTATATTCTCAAACTTGAGTATTTTCTCTGCTAGCTACATTCTGTTTAGAAGTAAGTGTGAGAGGCATATGAGAAAACAGTCTAAGACTTGATTGGCTAATAGATTTTCCCAATTTTTAATGTGGGATTCCTTAGTTCTGATTCCTCCAGATTCTTTGTAAGGAATCATATCATTCATAATAATACTTTGTATTCTTAATGATTATGGTTATTAAATTTTCATGTCTTGGTATCACCTCTTTAATTTTATTTTGAAAACTACTTAGGTCCAGGAACTGTGCTTTAACTTCTTTTTACTTTCGACTTCTTTTAATTTCCATCAAGCCCCAACATAGGATATTAAAAATAATAGCCTACAGTTTTTTATTTACTTGCAAAATAAAAGGGGGAGGGGGGAAAGCCATAGATTATTACTTGTTATAAATAAAAAATAATCAAAATATTCATTCATTCTGATATTTCGTGATGGGTCTTCGGTAACCATCACTTTTTACTGCTGAGTTAAAATCTAAAAGAAAGTGAGCAAGTGTTCTTTTGTGTGTTGAACCTTATATTTGGAATAGTTCTCTATACAACAGAATCATTGTCATTGAAAAATTACTCTTTTCTCATTTCTCCTTTTTTGTATGTTTTGTTGCTATATCATTTGCAGGGACTCCGGAAAGCCTAGCTGAGAAGGAGAGGCAGCTCGTGGGCATGATCAACCAGCTGACCAGCCTGCGAGAGCAGTTGCTGGCTGCCCATGACGAGCAGAAGAAACTGGCCGCATCTCAGATTGAGAAGCAGCGCCAGCAAATGGAGCTGGCCAAGCAGCAACAAGAACAGGTGAGTAAGAACTGGAGACACGGCCGGACTCCGTAGGCTTTGTTTTGCCTGCCATTTTTCTCACTCTCCTAAGCATACACAGATCATTTAAAGCCTCTCTCTCCCTTTTCCCACATAAATAAAAAGATGCAAAACACCAAAGTAAATTCTGATCTGAAGAAGGTTATCAACTGCTGTAGTGGTATGTAACATGGAAATAATACTAATCAAGGTGCTGATAGGTCATGAGAGAAGTACCAAAAACTGTGGGGAGTCAAGAGAACATTTCCAGTCAGGAACATTATGACAGATTTCATCAAACAGGTGTTTGTTTGAGCTTTGAAGACAACGTAGGACTCACCAAGTGAAGTGAATGTTCAATTATGGCACAGGAATTTTAGATAATAAGAAAGAGTGAGAGTCTAAACTAGATAGGGTATTGACCATGGAAAAGAAGAAGAAAGGAGTAAACAGATGGAAGAGTTATGGTTAGCTGAATTCTTTGGGCAAAAGGCGGAAGAATAGGGTTGAGCCTGAGTAATATGGAAAGTTGGGTGGGGGGCAACTTTGGAAGAGCAAGCGGCTGTATTATATTGAATCAGAGACAGGTAGAAATCCCAATCAAGAGAGGGCTGAACTCAATCTCTCAGGTTATCTACGTGGAGATGGTAGCTTAAATCACCGGAGTAGACACATTTTATTGATTTGTACAATCAAGTACTTCTTATGTGCCCAGCACTGTGCTACCCAACTGCTGAGGCTACTTCAATTGACCAGAAGGACAGAGCCTCTCAATTCTCGTGCAATGAGATGATTAACAAAGGAAAAGAAGAATTAATGAAATAATTTCAAGTAGTGATAAGTAATTTGAGGAAATGTAAGAAGAGTAATTTGATAAAGGTTGATTTGTGTGGCAAGGCAGTGTTTCTTAGATGGGGTGATTGGATCTGGCAATTAGCTCAGATCTAAATGAGGTATAAGAGAGAGCCATGTGCTGATCTCGGGCCAGAGTGTTTCATGCAGAGAAGTGGCAGATTTATAGGCCATAAATTAGAGTAAGGGTGATATCATGAGAAAATAGACACAAACTAAGGGTGGATCCTTGGGAGATACTGGTGTATCTATTCTAGAGAGAGGAAAAGGAACAAATCTAGGACCAAAAAGGCACTAAAATTGTCATTTAGATTCTTATTGTTGGCTTATGAGTGTTGCTTCTGTGGAGCTTTAGCAGCAGAGGTGAGTCAGAATTGACCTGAGGAAGAATTGACCTGTATTGGTAGCAATAAGAAGGGAAGACAGAGGGTGGCGTGAGGTGAGCTTGCATATCGGGATGGCACGTCTTCACAGGGCTAACCTCCATGTTCGCCATCCGCAGTGGAGGAGACCCCTTGTTTAGTCCAAGGTCTTCAGTACTGCAAGGCCTTCCAAACCACTCGCAAAGTGTGAACTAGTGTAGTTGAAAGATGTAAAGAAATATTCAGATGATATTTGAAGAGTTCCCCTTTCTTTCCATTTATTCTCCCTACTTGGTGGTTTATGTCTGCTTGAAAGATGACATTTTTATGTTTAATGAAATGCTTCATCATTCTCTTTCAAGAGAGATTTGGCCTGTTATTGGCTATGGCCCATATTTCTCTTGCCTTACCCCCTGTAATAAAACAGTTCAAAATGCTTGCCTGTGACAGTCTAGAAAAATACCACTCTTTTCTTGTGTGTTTTCAACTCTCAATACCTTCAGACATCTGAATTCTGGGAAATTCTAGAAGCTTCTGAAACTGGAGCTCAGATTGGATTACTTCTTTGTAAAGAATCCCTACTTCGGTGGGTTTAAGGACACCATTGGGGTCCTGAAAACTCTGAGTAATCACTAATGGAGAGCAAGGTTCCTTTCTTTTGCTCTCACAATCTGGCCCATTCCCAAATATCATCACAGGATTCTAGAATTTTTCTCTGACATTCTCCTTTGAACTTTAGAAATCCTTAAATTCTTCCAGAATTTCCTCCCTGCATTGGAGAGATGCCAGGCAGTGGTACCTCGACAGCCTGACAGATGATCCCTCCTGACAGCAGCAGGTCAGGTAGCGGGAGCCCAGGTGCTCGCGCAGATCCTCTCTGCCATGCAGGCACCACTCCTGAATGGCATTCAGTATTTGTTCCTTAAAATACAGGTTAGGTTTACCCTCTCCTGAGAACTTCTTTTCTGACTCTCCTCCTCATGCTGCCTACTCAGTGCAGTACATGCCTCCCCTGTACACTCTCTTCGCCCCCTGACAGCTCTTCGAGATGCTACCGAACCTGTTTCCTGATTAGCCTGTCCCCAGAACTCCATTCCACAGTCATCTAGTCAACAAGTATCTACTGAGTACCAAGTGGATACCAGCTTCTGTTCTAGTTACTGGGATCCAGCAAGGAAGGAGATAAACCAAAATCCTTCATGTGTTGAATTCTAGTTGGGGAGAGGTACACAATACATAAAAAGTAAAATATAGTGTATGTTGATAAGGATGGTTAAAAATAAAGCAGAGCAGTAGGGATGAGGGTGCCAGGGAGAGAGACTCCTTTAAAGCAAGTGATCAGGGAAGACTTGATTGATGGGGTAAGGTTTGAGTAGAGACTTGTAGAAGGTGAGGCAGTGAGCAATTCGGTCATTTAGGAGAAGAGTGTTTCAGATGGAGGGGAAAGAAGGTGCAGAGGCCCAGAGGCAGGAGTATCCCTGGAAGGTAGGGACAGCCTTGATGTGTTCAGGAGACGGGAGAGCAGTGTGGCAAGAGTGGAGTGACAAAGAGAGGAGAAGGAGAAGATGAACTCAGAGGGGTGGCAGGAGGCCAGGTCATATTGGGCTTGCAGGCATTACATGAATACTGGCCTTTACTCTGAGTGAAACAAAGTGTTTTGAAAAGATGCATAACATGATCTCTCCAGATGCTGGTTTACAATAGGCTGTAGGGAGCAAGGGCAGAAGCAGAAAGAACAAATCTAGTCAAGAAGGAACAGTAGCTTGGAATAGGAAGAAGGATAGAGGGGTATGAAGTGGTCACTTTCTTGGTAAGTTTTTAAGATGCTTATAAGAGTATTCAGATATAAATATTGGTGTGTAGGAGGAAAGAACTGGACTTAAGGAAATAAGTGATATTCCCCTTTTACCATCTCCTTTCCTACCTTTCTTCAGGGAAAAAAAAATGTGTGTTTTTTTTTTTACTGTAGTCCAAAAATAAAAGAATGTATTATAATAATTATAGTTGTGTCAATGTCCATAAGGGGAAAAAAAAGTTCCTTGTGCAGTCATGTAACCCAGCTCCTTCAGGACTCCACTTGCATTTATCTTGAATTTTTAGCTTTCTGACACTGAATTTAAGGAAATACACCTTTTTGATGAAAATGATAGTGATGAGGATAAGAATCAGAGCTTATTTGTAAGAGTGATGTTACATTCTCATGAGATGATTTCCTACCCTTTATGATGCAATAAAGTGTTTAAAATTTTATTCTCATCTCTTCAGTCAAGCATTCTTCATCAGCTATTCATTTTATACTCCTTTTGCTCCTGGCTTTTTTGCAGTTGGTGAGCACAATATACATGATCCATAGCATAGTATATGTTAAGTAAGAGGATGATATCAAAGCAAATAACAGGATTATTGTGCTCGTTGTTGGCTTAGAAAACACTTCAGATGGCCACATTGAGAACTGAGTTCTGAGTTTCATTTGAAACCTGTTGAATTTGAAGTACTTTGGGAATGCCACTGGGTGAGTGGGTCTGAAGATTGAAGTAGCGGTCTAGTCACAGACACAAATCTGTAAGCACGTGGCACACATATCGAAAAAGGTATAGAGGGAAAAGAATTGAGTCTAAAAGTAAGCCTTATAGAGCTGCAGCCTGGATAAATAAACCCTTTGAAGGAGACCGCGAAGGAGCAGCCTGGGTGTAGGAGCAAACCAGGACAGTGCGATGTCCGAGAAGCCCAGGAAGAGGTGCAGGATCACTGAAAGCCCACAGGTGTTGAATTCTGATTAAAGGTCAAAAGGTGAGGACTAAGAAACACTTCAGAATATAAAACATGAAAGTGACTGGTGACTTTCTTAAGAATCATTTTAGTTGAGAAAGGAGCAGAAACCAGAGTGGAGTATGTTGAGTGGGCAGTTTAGAGGTTTGTGGAAAGCAGAAATGAGGACAATATTTGCCAAAAAACCAACCAACAAACACAAAAACCAAAACCTCATGAAGAAATAAAGCATCTTACAATACTCCATGCTAATCTGAACAACTTGGTGACAAAAATGCCCTGTTAAATTAATACTCTCTTTTGCAGAAAACAGCTGAAAGTGTCAGAGACAGGCCCTTCTTAATAGATTGCCAGGAAGCGGAACTTTTGAAATGAACATTTCCTGCTGGATTAGATCACTGTTGTAGTGTCTTAGGGCATCATTTTTTTTTTTTTTTTGGCCAAAAGAACCATAACTCTTCCTGAAGATTGAGTGTCTTGTCTAATCCTACTTAAGGATGAATTGCTGGTACTGTAGAGACACAGGCACATCTAGTTGCATCATCTTAAAAACCAGTGTCAAATCAAACTTTGAGAAACAGAACATTGGTAATGTCCCCCTAGGACTATGACATACTTTACATTTTTCCATGTGCAATTTCTCCACAGATTGCCAGACAACAGCAGCAACTTCTGCAGCAACAACACAAAATCAATTTGCTTCAGCAACAGATCCAGGTCAGAAATCATAATTTCATACATACTTCCAATTAAAAAAAAAAAATATATATATATGTTTTGTTTCTCATTCTTAGATGGACCTAATTGCAATGATCTGCAAAGTAAAAACGGCTTTCAGCCCCATTCACCATGTGCCATGAGCATCTTGCAAGTGATGATGACTCTGTCACAGGCCCTCCTGTGCCAGGGGGCTTCAGTCTAAGCAAGCCCTCTCATTTCGTCCCATATTGAAGGGAAATTCATGTTAGACATGTTTCATTTTCTCTATGGTCGAATGTGCAAAATGTGCCTGTAAGTGTTCTTTGTGGCCGAGGTGCAGGGGTACCCAGCAGGAAGGTGTAGTGGGTTTTCGTTACGAGCAGTGGCGGTGAGAACACTTTTGCTGTGTGCCCGAGAGCCATGTGTGACCGAGGTGGACCTTAGAGAGCATGATGATGTGCTGTTCCAGTGGGACCTCACCCTTCGAGTTGCCAGAAGAAACCAAGACTGAGGACTCCATAACCTCCACATTTGTCTTATGTGGAAATTTGCAATGGGGAGGAGCATCAATGAAGCAGAAAGAAAGCTGCCACATTGGTAACCAAAGGAAAAAGTAATTTGTCGGGGATGTCCTTTCCCTATCACTCGCTGGTGGCATGAATGTTGACAAAATGTATATCCCTTCCTGAAAATTTCCTTTCTGAAAGCCCTTATTTCATAGAGTATTTATGAGGATTTAATGAAGTCATGGGTGGATAGCTTTAGGATAGTGTCACGACAAATGGTAAGTGCTCAATACGTACCTGCGACGACTGGGAAGAAAAGGAAACTAAGTGTGGATCTATGAATCCAACCCGGTGCAACATCATCCATTTGGAAGCAACTATTAGATTTGTAGTCAGATCATCTGGGGAGAAATTCATCATACTCTTGACGTTTTATCTTGAGAATACAACATATTTTATTAAGTGTGAATGTCATAAATAACAGAAGAAAATGTGTTAAAATTATTTCATTAGTTACTTAATAATGTTTAGACTTCTTTGCCAACAAAGTTTATTTCGTTGTATCTAATTGGGTCGGGTACATTTAATTTCCTTTTCCTGGATTATATAGCCCACAGGACTGGCTCATTCTTGTTCACCCTGAGAATTCAGTGAACAGGTCACAGCTTCAGTGAGATAGATACATCAGTGAGATGATCCAACCAAAGTCTTCACCCTCCTTAACTGTAATTGTTAGAAGCACATTGATTGTGGTATGATTTATCAGTTTCCCATCTGGAGTGTGGTGGTTCAATGGTTTAAAATGGTTCATTGGATTTCCATATTCAGTCTACATATACTGACTTTGAATATAGAATTAGTTGATGGTACCAGATTATTTAGATTTAAAATGTTTTTGTTTTGTTTTTTTCTTTTTAAATCCTCACCCAAGGATGTTTTCCCATTTATCTTCAGATAGAGTAGGAGGGAGGGAGAGAGAGAAACATCGATGTGAAAGGGACACATCGACTGGTTGCCTCCTGTATCACCCTGACCAGGGTTGGGGACGAACCACAACGGAGGTATATGCCCTTGACTGGAATCGAGCTCACGACTCATTGGTCCACAGCCCAACGCTCTAACTGCTGAGCCAAACCAGCCAAGGCTAAAATGTTTTTAATTACTGAAAATTAACAAAGCCGGGGGTCGGGTGGGAGGGGATAGGGAAGAGAGACTCAATGGAGGAAAAAAGGAGAAACATCTGTAACAAAAATAAGTAAATAAATAAATAAATACTGAAAACCTATGATAATAAAAATGTTATGGCAAGTTCTCATTATAAATAAGATACAATTCCATAATCAGTGATATGGTCCTTTGCGAATCACTTGGTTTCTCTATAGTTTGGTGAGGGTACTAATAGTTTTAAATTTTTACAATTTTTATGAGACTGGGAGAGTCCTCTGTTAAGTAGAATTGCAAAAATGTATCTAAACCTGTATTTAAATACGTAGAAGGCTAAGCTTTGTTTGGACCATTTAAATGTAGCCACCACCTTCAGTCTTTTTTGGAATTATTTCACAATTATGAACAATACATTTATAATGTGTGTTTTAAGCTCTGTCATAATGCACAAATGTTGAAATTGATGGACTAAAGCCAAGTTTAATGACCTGCCCACGATCACACAACTAGTCACAGGCAGAGCTAGGATCAGAGACAAGGTTTTCTGGCTGTTAATAGAAACTTTCTAAGTGTGAGCAGTTTAAAAGCTTATGGCGGCACGATATGGACAATATCCCCTAATAAAAAGTTTGGAATATTAAAACACATAATTAATTAAATAAAAGCTGAGAATTTATTTGATCAAAATACTAAGCTGCTGTCTTCCACGAGTTCACAGAGTGAAAAAGCACAACAAAACCCCGCTAGTCCCTACAGGGAATAATGGTATACTGATGGTACTTTGGGGAGAACATGAAGAGAGATGCTGAGATGTTATATCTGCATACTTATCCTCTTTCTAGTTGTAGTACAGATAAATGATACTGACAGTCAAAACCCATCAAGCTATTATTTAAAAAAGAATTTGGGAAGTAGGGAATGTTTCAGGTAAAAATAAGTACTGAGCAAGAGTGACAATCTGAGAGGAATTCATTTTCACAGCTTCTAGTATATTCATTAACTAAAAGCATAGCTCTAAAGTATATTTTATAAATTGTTAATTTGGGGAAGTCTTACAAGCACTTAATAGTTATGAAAGTCATAATATATTTAAAATTGCCTATTGAGAAATTATTCAAATAGTTATGGCAGGCAGTGGTGTATTCCTGTGTGTAGAAATATAAAATTAAGAAGGTAGAATAAATCCTGTTTTTCTCACATGAATCTTTACCATATTTCTCTTTTAGAATGTTTTCTCTCCTTTTTCTTCTTCTTTTCACTTTCTCCTTTCCCTTGGCAGCATAGGATAAGGAGGACTCGGCGCTGCTATAGTGGAAGGAGGATCAAATATATAACAAATCTTATTATAAAATGTATTTTTGTCGATGCATACATAATCAAATGCTCACATAAGAATTTTTTACCATAAATTTTTCTTTGATATCTAAAAATACGTATTTTGAATTTGATCTACTTTGCTCTTTCTTAAATATGGAGCTTGAAAACCTTGTAGGAAATAAATATACCAATTTACGTTACTCATCGTGACTGCATTGCCTTTGCCATTTTGTACTCTTGTTGCTTTGGACTTTAGAAAACAATGTGTTCTAATTCCTTTATTGATAGACTAGTGCACTGCAGTGTTCCTATTCCACAAATAAGGCTGCCTTTACAATTTTTGTTTCAAGTAAAATACATAAGACATTAACTGGGTCCAAATACTGGTAGTAGGCATGCACGACCTTACATGGGTTAGACAGGTCCTCTGTGTGGGTTGGATTGATACAGGGTGAGAGAGCAGGATGCATTTCCACACTTGGTGGATGTGTTAAATGTCAGGAGGATGGCCTTCTCCAACATCTTTCTTATTCTCTTACTGAAAACTCTTTAAGAAGATTTTAACTTAGACGTGCTTATTTCATTGGAAGTACATGTCATTTAATTGTCAAAATGTAAGAATAAGTTAGTATGTGTGCCTATGCACAAACATTTCACATGTTCTGATGACCAGGTTATTTAAAATTTGGGGACTGTTAATTCTATTTTTTCAACTCCAGATGAAAAGAGTGGTGGTAGGTTTTACTCTCTTATTTATTTGAAAAGAAAATGCCATAAGAATGAGCACATTAACCAGTTTTAGTTACTAACTTAGGATCAATTCTTTATAAACTGTTTTTCACTCTCTAAAAGCCACCCTTAGCTTTAAAGATGCATGATTCCCACTGGAGTGAGCACGCGATCTGCACTGTCCTTACAGAGGCTCGCGGAGTTATGGTTGCCTTCCAGGTGTACACATATCTCAGGATTAAAAGAAGAATTAAGGAAGTTTTCTGTTATCGTTTGTAACATCATAAATCAGTTCAGTCTACAAATAAAATCATATCATCATGCCAGAAACATCTCATCCCTCTAGAATGTGTTCATTTCTTTTTGAGATTCTTAATTTTAGGAACACCAGGAACTTCTAGTCTTCTTATTCTACTATTTGGCAATGTTTTCCTTTAATTGCCCTTTAAAAGAGAACATTTTTGCATTCCTACTTGCTGTCTCTGGCTAACTTTTAATGCACAGTAGTACGAATTAATAACTATGTCACAGACAAATATCAATCTAGATTTCTTTGATTGTAAGTTTTTTTACTCTATTGCTTCTGCTACTTTGCCCAGATTTTAAGCAATTTTATTTTCTGACTAATCTATCTTTTATATTAAATCAATCTATTTCTAATACTGAGAGGTAGGTGGTTTATGTTCCCAGTAATGATCCTAGACCAGTGGTTCTTCTTGACCTGATTCACTGTTAACAAAACTTTTGAAAGTAAATGAATGTGACCTCTATGAACTTCCATTATGGCAACAAACTGAATGTCTCTGGAGACCCAAATTCCCTTTTATCTTGAAGCTTTGTATGGGACAGAGTTTCTACAGCTTTTGGCTAGGAAAGCTGTCCTAGTTTTAAATTTTTTATTCTTTTTTAATAGTACTTAATGGAATTTAAGGTTCTAATAGCATCTAATAGGGCCAAGTCAACAACATGCTTCACTATGAAATCCATTTAAGATATTTCCAAAGGCAAATTTAAAGATATTGTACTTCTTGTCACATGAATATTTGTCATGATTTCCATACTGAAATTTCAGTGTTTGGATTTTCATAAGACATTCCACAAATTTGTTACATTCCCCCTTCTGATAAACTTTTCCAACTGTTGTTCATTGTGTCCTCTCCGGGGCAAGAGTTGATACTTAGTAACTCCCTGTCCATTGTTTCTGATTCATAAATGAAGCATGTTCAGGTCTAGTAATAGTTTTTGGTTGCTGATTCTGTCTGGAGCTAAAGGCAGAACAAAGAACAAATCTTTGCTTCTTTG